CATACGGAATCTCAGTCATACACATCAATTCCATTTTAGATGAGCATTAATTTGGTATATAATACATTTTTATATCATCTGTAGTTTCAGCTCTACCCCCTGGAAAAATATTATTTCCAACCGTGTAGATGTATACAGGAACTTCGTTTTCTTGTATAATTGATTTAGTTACTTCTTCAAAGACAATTAAATCGCTATATTTCAAAAGATTATTCTATTATCAACGTATTAAAAACATATAGGTATGTTTCTTTTACAGTTTACTCTAATCTATTCCTTTTAGTTTTTGCGATATACCGGAAACCTGTGAGATATATCTCATTCGACTTAATTTCGCACCTAGATGATGAATATCGCCGTCATTTTGGTGTTAAAAGTTATTTTGATGGCGAAATTCAACAAATACTACCGAAAACCTGCAGGTTTTCGCAAAATTCTGATTTGTGAATATGACATTTTTTTCTATACTTTTGGCATGCTCACACGATAGAGTGTAGAAATTTACACCTACTGTACAAATTTAAACTGGTGTGGAGATTTCCTTGGGTTTCAGTGAAAAAAACACAAGGTTTAATTTAAACCTATTCCGATTTTCGGATCGTACTTTGGGTTTTTCGATCTCATAACATAAACTAACAGCGTTTCCAGCAACATATTGTGAAAGAGCAAACAATTCTGCACATTTTGCAGCATTTTTGATGCATGAAGCGCTTTTTTGGTGCGATGGTATGGTAAAATACGAAATATACATGCTATCGCCCTCTAATCAGTAAAAGTCAGTTTTTTCAATGAAAATATAATTCTTTTAAATTTTCGATGTGATATTCGTCATTAGCAGAAATTTCTGCATCTAGTCCATGTATTGTTACAATAATGTGAGAAAAAAAGTTTTCCTGAAATTCTTTCGAGGACCAAAGGCGTCAAAAGCCTTCTAAGAAAATTTAGAGAAACTAAGTCGTAGAAACTGTTCCAAATCACCCGCTGACATGTTTTTGATAGAAAAAGATAATGCCATTGGGTGCGGGAAATCTACCTTATCTGCCCTCCTCCGTTATTACACAAAGCTTTTTCTGGATAAAAAACTCTGCTATATACAGAGAAAGCTGTAAAAATAAAATACGATTTTAATGAATAAAAATAACAATAATGTATCTGCTAAAGAACTACACATCATTTATTTCACCCTTATAAAAGTCAGATGGCTTTGACTGAACCTTTTCTAATGCAATTGGAAAATCTGAATTACGAATTCGGAGTTGTTCTGCTGAATCTTCACCGATATCTAATGTACAGTGGACTTCAACCGACTTGCACCCCTAGCCATTTTTGACGTTACTCTACTATAGTTTGGTCCCTGTGAGAGAGCGATATACAGAAAAAAAGAGCAGCTTCGACCGCATCGAATGGTATATAACACCGGTATATTCGATCAACATTGGACGCTGGACAGAGAATGGAGAAAAAAGATGATGATTTTTTCACTACACTCCACAGTTAGACTGTATCTAACGTTATACTCGTTCTGATTTCTCTCTAAACATTCAAACGCATGAGAAAACCTTTGCGTTAGTTGCCTCTGCTGAAGTTTACCTTCAAAAAAATTGATTCCACTCTTGAGATTAACTGTATTAACTATTGAAGCATGCCATTTTTCTTCATCTCGACAGGTTAAAATAAATTTTGCTTTTGAATAAAATTTCATTAATTCACGATAAAAATCTAAAACTGGTGAAGCGGATGCATAAGAATAACCTAAAAATATTTTATTTCAATCAATTTGTTGACCTTTGCTAGCTTGTTGCTATAAGCACTCTTCTGTTCTAAATCTACGTTAAATTCATTTTTGAGCGACTAGATCGGAGGCGCTCATCATCAATGAGCTTGTATACACGGAGCTGATATTTTTCTATGACCAACCCGATGGATAAACAAGTTATTTCTTTTCATATAACTCGGACGAATTGCGAAATGTAGTGAAAAAAACATCATCTTTTTTCTCCATTCTCTGTCCAGCGTTCAATGTTGATCGAATATACCGGTGTTATATACCATTCGATGCGGTCGAAGCTGCTCTTTCTTTCTGTATATTGTTCTCTCATAGGGACCAAACTATAGTAGAGTAACGTCAAAAATGGCTAGGGGTGCAAATCAGTTGAGGTCCAGTGTACCATGTTCAATAACATTTGCACATAACAACTGAAAGCCACTAGCTGTTATCAAGCCTACCTGTCTGATCTGTTTAGGAACGTATTAATGGATTTTTATAGATTTTTTCATTCAATGATATTTGCTGAAAAACCTGATTTTGCTCCAACTTTGGATATAGACTTTCTATTGAGTTTGCTGTGTAAATGAATGTTGCCATATGATTCATAAATAGTCATTTACGTATTTTTCCACGAGTTTCAACTTTCTTCATGATTTGCTAAATCTGAAGGTATTAATAAAAATTGAGCCCATTACCAGACAATGGTAGATAAGGAGCTTGAAGTTTTGCACTAATTCAAAGATGCAGAAACTTGTAACATTTAACAAAGGAGTTTTGAATCTCTACGCGAAGTTCCAAAAATCAACGAAGAGCACTAACTAGAAATCAATTTTTTGAGAGCTTTTTAGTTTAAAAAAGACTTGGACCTCATAATAAATAGAAACGATGTCTTTATCACTTTTCCTCGAAAACTACTGGAAAAATATGCCATACTTTAAGATCAAGAATGTGAGAGGATACATCACAATCGTATTGCTTTAGGAAATTGAATTTTTTCTAGAAGAAAATTTGTCCGGTAGGGTAGGCCGTTATTTTCTGTGAGGCTTTCAGACACTGAGTCGCTTGGGAACCATGCGAACGAATTGTAAAGCAGAAACGTAGAGATTTTAAGTTGCAGAAGTTAAAACCTAAGTTTATTCATTTTATAAATTATTAATAACTCCTAGAGGCTGTTCCAATAAACTTGTTTTGCCGCTTACACTCGATACGCTTTGCAGTTTGCATTTTGAGGCGTTAAAAATACAAATTTTCATGGTATGTTTAGATTAATTTAAAAGCTTTTTATCTTTCAATTGATCATCTGGAAATAAGTACATCTCATTGTAATTTGTTGAACGATGGTTTATCAGTAATTTGTGTTGGCATGTTTCGCACTGGAACTACATCATTAAAAAATGCATTAGAAATATTGGGTATTGGAAAGGGTTATTATGAGGTTATGATTAATGAACATCTAGGTGATCATCCTGGTTTATAGCAACAAGCTAGCAAAGGTTAACAAATTGATTGAAATAAAATATTTTTAGGTTATTCTCATGCATCTGCTTCACCAGTTTTAGATTTTTATCGTGAATTAATGAAATTTTATTCAAAAGCAAAATTTATTTTAACCTGTCGAGATGAAGAAAAATGGCATGCTTCAATAGTTAATACAGTTAATCTTTGATAGTCTCGTTGGAATAATTACTTCGCTTATTTCTTTTTTTTAGTTGAATACAACGAAAATGAAAATTAACATTATCCCCTATATTATTGGATGACGTTGGGTCAGAATTAGTTATATTTAAAGTAGAGGAAGGACATAATTTTTTTTTATATTTGAAGAAATAAAGACAACTATGAATATTTAAATACAATATGTTCGAAAAGAAATGGATCCTATCGTTTTATTGTTTACATGAAGAGAATAACGGAGTATTTTTCATCGACTAAATCTTATTTGTAGGACGATTTGACAGATGAATCCATTTTCTCATTAGAAATATATATACATAAAGCTATAGATCATAAAAGGCTCACGAAGAGAACGCAAAGATAAAATACCCATGAAAATACATGATAGATTCAAATGATATCACTCGAACGAAAATACCCAGCTATGTATGCCTGGAAAAAACCAACAGACGAAAGAGAAAGAAAGTGACTTATACTTGGAAAACAGTGAAGAGAAGAAAAAGATAAAAAAGCTGTTAGCGCGATCCATTCGGGATTAAAAGTGTGAAACACGATAAAGCCTACACTCTAAAAAAAAAATGCGACGTCTAGGAAGACACATAAGTCGGATCCCAAAAAGCCGCATTTTAGTGTCTTCTCTGAAGTCACATGATGTGACTTTACCTGGCAGTCACGTTATAAAGTCTTCGTTCTAAAACACGTAAGTCGGATCCCACTTAGTCGTATTTTAGCGCCTTTGTCGGAGTCGCTTTGATGTGTCTTCTAGAAAAGACGCATTAAAAAAATTTTTGTTCCTGTCAAGAACTGAACTCGGTCTATTCGCTTACGAGACGAATGTGTTCACCACTGAACCACACAGACACATTAGTTTTTAGTTTTATTAGCCTCTTACGTTGACATTTCGCGTAGGACCTTTATTAAAAACAGACACATGGAAGGCGGAATGATGTGACTACTAAGCGTCTTTCTCGTTCACACATCTTCCATGTGACTACTAGCACACACATTGAAGACATACAGAAGACACCTATTATTCTGAAGACGCAATATAGTCACATGCAAGACACTTTTTCTCAGCAGACACATAATTGAAGTCGCATTTTTTTTTAGAGTGTACTATAAAAAATATCTGCATGATGAAATCTCTTGAATGATGTCCCGATGAATTCTTTAGAACGATATCTTACATTTTATCATTATATCCAAAAAGCAACATTGTGGGTGCGAAGAGTCAACAATGAAGAAATTCAAGTATCATCATTATGTGAAATGTGTACACAGTTAATATAAATAGCAAGTTTTTCTAATAAAATACACTACTTTATTTGAATAATGGAAAAAAACAAATGACGCAGAAATTATCTTTTCACATTTTGTCTTTAATCACTGCCGTTATTGTCATTATTTTTTGATGGTGTTATCATTTTATATACAAACATCAGATACTTTTGTCAGGTAAAACCCGGTTAATTCCTGAACAATAGCATCTGAATAAGCACCGTTAAAAAGCCACCATATAATGAGTACAACAGATTTTCCTCAACTACCTTACACTAAAATGGCA